GCTTTGGGAGTGAGAACGTGTTGGTATGGTGGGTGTCTGATAGTTGGTGTTGTCAACCACCACCTCTCTTCGCTCACTCTGTCAAACTATCTGCCTTCTTGGTCCAAACTGTGAAGATTAGCATCCTCTAACGAGTGTCCTTTCTCCTTTAGGTGCTAGGTTGGCCTTGGGTCATGTGACCCTTAATGACTCACAAGATTACAGGGTGGGCCAACAACTCTCAGGACCACCTCCCACGCCCTTATGACTCTCCATCAGCTTGTAAATCTCTTGGACGAGAGGTGAGACGTCTTCATGAACCACAAAGTCGTCCAGCTGCCGTCATTTTAACCATTTAAGACAACCATGGCCTGGATGACTGAGAAGCTTTGATTTTATACAGTTTTTAGTTTGAGTTTGTAGAGCCGGCCTCACGTGGCCATGAGAGGAAATGCGGTTTTTGGCACTTTCATTTACAGTCATTATTCATCCGTTGTTTTTGTTGAAAAAGAGCCAAAAAAACCCAGAATCCATCAGCGAAAACTAAAATAGGGTATCATTTTATTCACAGGTGCATTTAAAGTTAACTTGTTGCTAACTTCTAAAAAGGTTTATCTTTTAAACGTTGCCTTTTTGTCTTGATATTATTATTTTACGACCTTTCCGTCAGTTTGGCGTCTCTGTGCAGGGTTACACGTGTAAAGAATTGCTTCTCCCTGACTTCCTGACTTCTGACTCACCGAGCGAACAGAGATGTTTTAGCATTAAACAAGGCAGCTGGCAGCCAGACACTTAAAGCGGAGTAGCAATGAAAGGAAGCAGTCATAAGAGGATGAAAAGATAGATGGGTGGAGGTAAGGAGGAGAGAGATGAGGTCTCCCAAAGAGACCACTGGGAGGGGAGGTTGATGAGATGTAAGCAGGACAAGAGAGAAGTTTTAGGACTTCAAAGAGGAGGAGAGGCTGGGAGGGAAACTCCCTTCTGGTCTTGAACAACTGTTCAGGCTTCAAACACTCAGAGCGCTGCACAGCTCACGCTGAGCGAAGGACTGCAGGAGAAACCTCTCACCCCTCTCAAGGATTTACAGTCAGGAAACAATTTTTATAAAGTGGATTAGGAGAGACATCTGGCACCCCAGAGACGTGTGGGAGGCGAGCGGCCTTGAGTGAATGAATAAGTGCTCACGGAAGACTGGATAAAAGTTTCCAGAAGTTATTTCTCGTCAGCAGATGGTCCTCGTGAGGTTAATCTTTGGCTCACTGCAGGTGCGAGCTTCATTTCCTTGTGCGTTGGAGAAAAAGTCGGAGCTAACCTGATGATACGGCTCTCCGGTTTCACTCCAATTTCTGCAGCACCTGCTCATCACTGAAATTGCTTTCCATCCTGCAAGTTTACAACTTCAAAGCCTCGAGCAATCTTCCATAGGGGCATTGTTTGTCTATATCCAAAACACATCTGAAAAGCTTGTAATTATGCTCTCACTCTCATTATCTCTGCTTCTCCTGCTCCACGGCTGAGAGGTGAGGGAGAAGTGGATGAGAGGAGATTAGAGAAGGTAGAAGAGGGAGGCAGGGAGAGATAAACAGGCAGTTTAAGGCTGTAAACACATCCTGTCCAGAGGCAGCTGTTTTCTAAACACATCGGGCATAAATCAAGCTTGTATTTGTCTGTGGTGACTGAAGCAGTCGGGGCACAAACAGGAGCGAGCCGAAGGCACTCTGTGGTGGTCAGGCTGGTCACACTGGTGGAGGTGAGAGAGGACGCGAGGAGGGAAGTGGATTATTTGTGAGGGAAACTTTGAGAAGAATCGAGGGCAGACTACAGTCATGGCCTCGGCCGTCTCTTACAGCCTCTCCTGCCACACGGGGAGCGCCAGATCCACGTCCGCCATCCACCCCTGGACCCTGCTCCTCCTCTCCCTGCTGCTCCTGCTCTCCCTCTCGCTGTGGAGCCAGCAGGCCGAGGCCGTGGTCCCCTCCAGCTTCCGGAAGCTTAGTGGACGAGAGAAGAAGGAGATGCAGAAGGAGATCCTGACCATCCTGGGTCTCCCGGGGAGACCCAGACCCCACCCTCCGCTGCGACCGCCGTCCTCTGCGCCGCTCTTCATGCTGGACCTGTACCACGCCATGTCGGTTGATGAGGATGAAGGCAATGAGATTATTGCAAGTACACCTTTCAAGGGGTCATCTAAAGGGGCACCTCAGGTCAACCGCGGGGTCCTGCCGACCCTCAGCACGCACACACCGCCGCTGGGGACGGTAGTCAGCGAGGCTGACACGGTGATGAGCTTCGTCAACCTGGGTGAGTCATAAAACTGTTAAAGGTGCTTATTTTCCTAAAACTAATGCAATCAACACAATGACTTTATGTCCAAAACATCAGCGACTGGGTGAAGAGTTAACAGGTGTAGCTAAACTACAGCCATGCTTTTCTTTTGTGTAATACCAATGTGTACCACAAGATGGTGCAGTGAATCAGCGTCACCTTTATGTAACCTGTAAGTCAATGAGAAGTTGCACAATGGCAGCCTGGTGTGATGTAAAACCTGAGGAAAAATTGTGTAAAATGCTGCCCCCTGGTGGTAAAAATTTTAGTTAAATTCTGCAGCGAGGACTTACAAAATGTACCTTTAATTGTTGGAATATAGGACTGTCGCTGATATATAAAATATGCACCTAACGTCCAGGTCTGGAAGTGATTTTGACTGGCATTCTTTCATATGCCCAGCAGGGGGCGACTCCTATGTTTACTGTAGAAGTCTATAGATAAACAGCCCTACTTTTCACCTGATTTCTGACTTCAAGAAACATTTTCCTGATGATTTAATGTTCTCAGTTTCTAATTTGAAGTCCTACTTAACACAACGCGATGTTCACTTTGTAAATTATGGTCCTCATTAGAGTAGAACTGGCTTCATGAAATGGTCAGGTAAATGTTTGTGAAAGCAAGACTTCCGAGACATTTAAAACCAGGAAATGTCATTCTCAGCAGGTACTGATGTTTCTTGACCCCGGTGAAAGCCACGAGTGTTTCTGGAGCTTCAGCCTCTTTAGATATTTACAGGAAAAATGTAACTGATAGATGTGCCAGAGTTTTCTGAAGTTGTCTTTCTGTTTTGTTTGTCTTCATATTTTTCCCATGTCAAAGAAACAAAGAAATTTCAAGAAAAATAACTGAATCATTTTAAAGTCTTCAGCGCAGTAACTGTGATCGAATTGCCAACAAAACCAACGGCAGTGTTTTGCTGATATGTTGGTGCATCTCTAGGTTTTAGTTTCGTTTTATTATAGCCATTAAACAAACAAGATCTAAAGTGTTAATTGGTAATAATTAGGGTCACAATTGGCGTCAAGTAGATTTTATTACCTTGAAACGGAACCAGCCCAGATGTTTCCCCCTCCAGTTTTCATTCTCTAACATCTGTAGGTAAAGCTGTGGCATCGGTCTTCTCATCTGGCATCACTAAACGGTCTAAGCATTCCCTAAAGCTTTGGACTGCTCCTTATAGCTTAAAGAGAGGAACGCTGTTTATCATCAGCTTTGAATGACAGGACAGTTTTTGCCTTTTTGTGGTTTGGCTACAAAACGCAAACTCAGAGGAATAAAATTACACAGTGTGTGAGCTTGATGACACTGACAGCGCCATAATTTTTAGTCTCATGTAGTTTCCTCTAACTCTCCCCCCAGCAGAGCGGATTAAACCCGCTGTCAGTACAACTGATATTTATTGGTAGGTTTACATTTCGGTTCATGGTTCCTAAAATCCACCAGCCTCAGTCCACTGCTGCTCCTGTGATATTAGATGAAGGACTTTGATGTTTAACCTCCTAGGACCCTGCGTCCACATATGTGGACATCACATTTTGGGTTATTTAGACCAAAATACTAAATTTTGCTCTACAAGGGCCTGATATCCACTTACAAGGACATTATACTGCTACTCTTCTATCGAAATTTTAAACGAATATCCTCTTTTGTGGCTCTCATTTTTCTTAGAAACAAAAAGTAGGTAAAAAAAATCTGGTAATTGTTTGTTTTTACATTCATCAGGTCCCAATCAGCCCAAATATCAAAGAATAATTAAAAAATGCATGCCGTGGAAGAGAGGTTAAAGTAAGAGGTGAAAATCTGTCCAAATCAGAGGCATCAAACTAATTTTACCTCCCAGGGCACAAATAGCCCAATTTAACATTAAGTAGGGTGAAACAACTAAACCTGGTGCATGCAATGTGTTTGTTAATTTAAACACACAAAAACTATGCAGGTGAAACGTTTGGCATTGATGATGTGAAGGAATGGTCACAAACTTCAGCTGCTTCTGCTGATCATCTTTGGGCTTCAGCAGGAACTCATTCATAGAGCCTCACATCTCTGTTTCAGCTCGTGTCTTAGCAGATTTATGTGGACATTTGTAAACTGCAGCCAATCGAAATTTAGGGACTGTCTCAACATGTGGTCCAGACCACCGAAACACCGTAATAACCTAAAACATCTCCAGTCTGTTTCCCTTTCCTGAACCATCTGTTCAGAATGAAACAGCCTGAAATGTCTGTTTCTCCACAGTCAGTCGAAATCACACAGAAACATTATTATCGAAGACAAACACCTCACCACAGTTCCTTTGCAGATCTGTCAGCTATAAAGACCTGCCATTTGAGTATTTATCTGTAAGACGGCTGTGACATGACAGAAACGGACTATGAGCCACTAAGAAGTATATTTTAAGTAAACCTCTCTTCATATAAAACTTTTCAACCACCCAGTGGGCTGAATTAAACCCTTTTTGGCTGCTTCTTATCCACACTCTGCAGCAGATCCACGTATTTAATGTCCTTTGTTTAGATCATTTTACTCAGCTTTCATTAATAATGGCTGCATGGATTAACTGGACATAATCTTCAATACATTCAAACAGGAAGTTAGTAATTATCATTAAAAATAGAGTGTTAACTGTAGTCGCATATAAAATTAAGTTTATTGTTATTTTTAGTTTAGTTCAGACATTTTGCTGGGTTGAGCCTTAATTCAGTTCAATTCAGTTTTATTTATACAGCACCAAATCACAACAACAGTCATCTCAAGGCGCTTTATATTGTAAGGTAGACCCTACAATAATACATAGAGAAACCCAACAATCATATGACCCCCTATGAGCAGCACTTTGGTGACAGTGGGAAGAAAAAACTCCCTTTTAACAGGAAGAAACTTGGGGTGACAGAAGGAAGACAGGAAAAAAGACATGCTGTGGAAGAGAGCGTGTCTTAAACCTGCATTTTTTCCTAATGGACAGCAGGGGGCGACTCTCCTTGTTGCTGAAGACTGGGTTGTAAACCAACCGTGCTTCTGGCTTTATTTATGACCCCAGTAAACACTTTTCTGATACGTTTATGGTCAAGATCATGAAATTAAAGTCTCATCTAATATTACATGATGTCAATTTGGTAAATTATGTCCCCTTTACAATAAAAAAGGTCAATAAAGCAGGTTTGTCTCGCAGCTGTTTACAGTGTGATTGAAAAGTCACTGCACTCAGATGTACCTCTCTCTCATGATGTCTGTTTTTAAAAACAGAGATCTTCAAGTAAAGGCTCACACTGATTATGCCCATCTTTTAATTATGGTGAGAAATGTTGGTTAGCGTGAACTCGATGGAGGTCAATTAATAGGGGGGACAAAAACAGATCATCACCAAGAAAGTTCAGCCCTCGACTGACCTTTGTAAACCCTCC